TCTTTTTTATATCTTATAATATTTTTATTTTTCTGATCTTTTTTTTTTTTAATTTATTAATATAATTATCTTTTTTGTTAATAGCATTACAATAATCTTCAAGTTTTCATTTAAGAGTTTTAACTTCATTTTCAAACTTTATATTATTCTTTATATTATTCTTTTTTATTACATTATTTTATTTAATTGTTTCATTAATATAACATTTATTGTTTTTCTTTTTTACAACTTCAGTTTTATTGTTTTTTATTAATTTTTTTTAATAGTAATTTTTTTATTGCCAATAATGTTTTTAAAAATTTTTTCTAAAATAATTTTAATTACATTATTCATACTGAAGCATTCATCTTCATATTCTGATAATTTATTAATTTCATTAAAATAAATATTATTTAATATAATAAAATAAGAAAAATAATTAAAATTTTTAAAAACAAATTTAGTATTATTATAAATAGTTTGAGGTTAAATATTAATAAAATTTTTAAATAAATAATCAACTTTATTTTTAATAGTTTTAAAATTCAATTTTTTTTTATTTTTTTCAAATAAGAGTTATTAAACTTATTTAGAAATTTAAATCTTATTTTAATAAATTTTTATAATAAACATATTTGTTACAAAAATGATTTTTAAGTATTCATTTTTTTGAATTAAACATAATAGTTAGTTTTACAATTTACTAAACAGAGTTTAATTATAAATAACAATTAGATAATAAAGACTATCTTATCATATAATTCTTATTAAAATTTATATTAATTCACTTTTTGGTAATTCTTATAACTACAAAAATTAACTAATGTCTTATCTTTTCTTTATAATAGTGTTTTTAAATTTGAAACATGAATCTATTATATAATATTAATATAAATAAAATATATTGATAATTAATAGTTATTTTTGTATAATATGATAATTGATATGACTATCAAATATATTAGTACATCTTATTCTATAGATAAACACTTAATTTATTAATTAAAATTAAGAAACCTAATACATTATTATTTATAGATATACTTAATATTTATAAAATACTTCCTAATTCTTATTTTTAAAATATTGCAATTCAAAAGTGTTATGAATTAATTAAACTTAATAATGAAAATACTGATTATTTAAATATTGGTTTTGTAAATATTGATCTTGATATTTGGATATATATATATCTTTCTTATTTATTCACAATACTCATTATTGAGAATCTTTATTTTTAAATTAATAGATTACCAAAACCTTGTATGTTCTTTGCATATACTATGTAGAAGAACCAGATTCTAAAGCATTCAAACTGCACAAAGGAAAATTAGCTAATTATTTGTAGTATGAACATCTTAATTTTCTAAATAGTTTTGACATTTATCTCTTAAAATTGATACAAAAAATTTATTATTTTTCATATATAGGTTAGATTTAGATGTGATTTTGATAAGTCTTACAAATGGCTCTCAAAATTAGAATACTGTGCTTATAGTTCTTGCTACAATTGAAATAGATAAAAATTGCATTACTATTAAATTTGAGTTTAGTCATTAAACTTATTAATATTTTATTGCTTCAAATAGTACTTGTAAATGATTTATTAAATCACTAGTTAATAATGCATGTACTGTAGTTACTATATCTGCAATTAACTAGAAGATTACTTAATTAAATACTCTAATTTTTATATTATACCAAATATATAATATACAAATTCTTGTATGTCTAAGTGTTATCTAACTTACTATAAGCCTTCTCTTCTGTACATCTATCAAGCTGTTATATATTACAGAACATGTTACTTAATTGTAAGACTTAATATGTCTTTTTGCCAACTAACTACAGTCATGCTCCTATATAATTATCTCCTATATAATCACAAACTCTATATAATCGCATAATTTTATACAGAGATTTTTTTAATAATAAAAATACTTTTATATAGTTATGATAATAATACTATCACTATCACACTTTTTTAAAAAGTTTTTTACTCTAATTTATAAGAAAAATACTTCTTTATAATTACAATTGTTTTATTGGATACAAAATATATAATTGTAATTGGCTAATAAAAATCATACAAGTAAATCTAAATATAAATAAAGTAGTGAAATAATAGTAAAACTTTCTTATATTGAGTAAATTTGATATAAACTAGGTTTTGGCTTCAACTTTCTTATATTGAATATTAATTAGTTTTTCTTATATTAAATTTTAATTAGTTTCTTATATCAAATTTTAATTAATCTTTCTTATATAGAATTTTAATTAGTCTTACATCAAATTTTAATTAGTTTTTCTATATATTGAATTTAAATTAGTCTTTTTTATATTAAATTTTAGTTTTAATTAGTCTTTATTATATTGGGAATTACTTGTAATCACTTCTTGTTATATATGATTAGGCTATATGTGCTGAAAAGAAATAGATACCATAAAATCATCCCAATGATATTATAGCTTAGGCCATAACTAGCTAATTTTATGTTTTAATTAGTTATAACTATAATTGAAACAATTCTGCATATGGCATACACTAGTATGTACTGTAAGTTGTAGCAATTGTTAGCTGATTTTGAGCAATATTTGTAAAGAATCGGCATTTTCGTTCAATAAGTAAAGTTATTGTATGAATATCAGTTAAAAATATCAGTTTTTACAAATCTTGCTCAAGGTCGGCTGATAATTACTGTGGGACTGATTACTATCTCTAACAATAAAGTTGTATAACTTAAATAGAGAACAGTAATTAATACAATAACAGAGTCTATTGTCTGCATACTAGTGATATCATAATGCATGTATAAAATAAATAAAAAAGATATTTAATCATTAAGAATGAACTCATATTGATTTTTCTTGTCACAAACCTGTTTTTACAAGTAATGTAGTTTACTTGAGGTGCATGAAGATGTAGAGAGATGAAAGTTTGAGTAAGAGAGGCAAGATGTAGGTGAAGGAGACAAAGTCAGAAGTATTTTGTGCATATGTAATTATATAAATCTCTGAATGATGTTACTTTGAATTATGAACTATGCCAACAGATATTTTAAATCAAAAGTACAGTAATTCTTAACCTGTAATTATTAAAAATATGATAGAAAAACAGTAGTTGATAAAGTTAATCAAATAGCTAAAAAGGCAATTGAATTATATTAGAAGTTGCTATAAGATTAGCTTGTAGACTACTTCATGTGTTAAAGCATATTAATTGTAAAGAAATAATGGAATTACATAACTATTGTTTTGGGTTGTGAAATTTTTTTTCAAGTGTAAGAACTTGATTTTGTTATATCTGACATTTTCTGTTCTAGCATATTCTAATACTTGATTATGCACTGGCATTGTTGTCTATATTTGTCTTTAATCTTCTTACACTATATATCTTTTGACTACTGTTTAATTTTCTCATGCTAGTGGTAAAGTCGTCATTTCTTTGAGATTATTTATTTGTCATGCTATTATTTTGTATTAAAAGCTTTTGTTAATTATAGCATTTTATGGTTTTATTGATTAAATTTCTATTTATAACAGTCAAGTTTACCCTAAGACAAAGTTTACCATAAGCACTTACTGTGAGCTAAGTTTCACTTTAAGTTTTACTACAAGTCAAATTTTGCTGTAGATCAGGTTTTACTGTGAATAAACTTTATACAAAATTTTATGACCAAGTTTTGCCAGATTTAAATCTTACTGTGAACAAAATTTGTGATAGATAAAATTTTGTTGTAAATGTATACAGATAAAAATTTTTCTAAAAGGATATAAGAGGTTTAAGCTTAAAGATGTTAATTAAAAGAGCGAGAACAGCTATTAGTAGCAGTCTAAAATGGGAAATTTGTGAATATAATGATAAATTTCCAAATGAAACACATTCTAATATTGCTCAATACTTTAATCAAAAAAATTCAGCTTTAAATCTTGAATGATCAACCATTTCAAAAATATTAAAAGAAAAAGAACAATGGTTGGCAATTACTGATACCAGTATAACAGTTTTTTATCATAAAAAAGTTAAATTTTCTTTGTTAGATAAAGCTATGCAACTATGGGTTGAGCAAGTTGTAAGCAATAAAATTTTCTTAACACAAATAATTATTAAAGAAAAAGCAAGTTTTTTTGCCAGAGCATTAAGCATACTAAACAATGCACTAAAATTTTCTAATGGTTGAGTTCATAAATTCAAAAAAAAAAATAATTTACAGAACTATTGATTACATGGAGAATCCAATAGTATACCATTAGAATTGCTTCCAGAACAAAGAGCTAAGTTATGTGAAATAATTAGAAAATATTCCTTAAATGATGTTTTCAATGCAGATGAAACAGGGTTATTTTTTTGCATAGCACCATATTAAACACTTACATCACAGCCGCAGTCAGGATGAAAAAAGGTTTATTAATTTGTTTTGTTAAAATATTGTAGTTAGTGATAGAACTTTTGAGTTTTAGTTAAAAATAAAAATTTATAAATAATTTTTAATTTTTAATAGTCAATAATTTTTATATAATAATTAATGTCGCAGCTGAATATTAAAATCAGAAACCTCAATATAAAAATATAAACACTACTCAAATTTACTTTTACTTTTATTATTAAACTAATTCTAAACTCTAATTTAACTATTAAAAAAAAAAAAAAGCTAAAAAATGCAAATAATTAAAATTTCAAGCTTTAGCCGTGACAATTAATAAGTATATATTAATTAGAGATGGGCCATTATGTACTTATCAATGTAAAGTGCTTAATTAACACATATTTAACTTGGATAATTATTGACATCCATTAGGATTTATATATTATTAGTCATACAACAATTAAGAACCTCACACTGATAAGTACGTGTTGCCTATTCCTAATATTAATAACTAGAAAAATTGTTAATAGCTAATAATTATTAATAATTCAAAAAGTCCTATCACTAAAAATAACAGATTTCTGGATTTATTTATTGTTATTTATAATTTTAATCTGTAATTTATCACTTTAGAATCATGCATGTATTACAGTTATGCTGGCCACAAATGCAACTAGAACTAAAAAGTTAAAACCAATAATAATTAGATCATCCATTGAACCTAGAGCTTTAGTTCACTTAAATTATGATGCTTTATCTGTAATGTATTGTGCAAATTTAAAGGCTTGGATGCGAACTGATATCTTCAGCAAATGAATCTCAAAACTTGATAAAAAGTTTCGTTTAGCAAACTGGCAAATTTTATTGATAGTTGATGATACAACGAGTCATTATAATCCTAATGATAATAATAGCCAAAATATATTGTATGAAGAATCAATTAGTAAAGAATCAGATGAAGAAGAATCAGATGAGGAATCAGATGAAGAATCAGATGATAATGATTATTATGATGATAATAATAAAGATAAAGAAGTTCATGCAAGCTTGTTTAACATTGTATATAGACAGCATGGCTGTCCAAGACTAAATGCAATTAGTGTTAATAAACAAAAAGAGAGAGATTCTTCTTGTGGGCATGGTCATAGATATAGTCACAGGCATGGTCATAGGCATGGTTGCAGACATGGTCATGCACGTGGGTGTAGACAGGCTTCCCAGAATAGCAAGGGTTGCCATGATACTGGTTGTTCTTATAGTATTCCTGATCCTTCTGATATTCATTTAACAAATATTTGAATTGAGATTTTACCACCCAAAACTACTGCTTACCTCCAACTGATGGATGCTGGAATAATTAATAGCTTTAAAGCAAATTATAAAAAGAAGTATATATAGCATATATTAAATCAGTTCGAAAAGGGTGAAGATTTAAGAAAGTAAGGGGATATTACCTGTTTGCCATTATTGTTGCTCTTTTCCTCAAAGGGCTATTTACCTGATATCAAATGTTAGATAAATAGTCTGCTAGAAAAATAATCATTAGGGAAATAGATATATACTGTACCAATTTGATTATATAATAAAACTAAAGTTTATTGCATTATGTATTACACGTATATTATAAATGGTATATATGTGCATAATTTAAAAAATTATTTATATTTATTTATTATACCACTGTGCTTAAATATTATTTCATATTGCCCTTCTTATAAAATTAATAGAACCCTATAATAGATGTTCAATTTACATAAATAGGTATATACAGAAACTGAGTCTGTTATATTTTTAGTTAGATTTTGAAAAAAATTTAAAGCACATATAGTGCAAGAAATCTAAAAACTATAATTACCTCTTAGAGACAAAGTATAAATAGTAAAGTTAAATATTCTTTAAGCTTTGTTGAAATTAATAATTTAAGAATTTTTGAATTGTGCATTATATTAAGATTATGCCAAGCAGAAATTTAAAAATTGCAATTTTCATGAAGTTAATGTATTTCAAATAATACATTAAAATCAAATATTCCTTAAATTATTGATTTCAATATAGTAATTTCTTATTTACCTTATTTATATTGAAATTTATTTTCAATGTGCTACCAGTTTATTTATTATTTCTATTAAGGTTTTTAAATTTTCTGCACTGTATACACTCTTTATTTATAATAAGTGATTTAATTGCATAAATTAAAAAAGTTATACAGTAGTTCACACTCAGGTTCAATTCTACTATTGAATAAATTTTTATACACCTATTTACATTGGTTTTGTGGAATTAATACGACAATAATTTCTAATTTTTAATTTCTGTAAAATTAAAATTTTACTGACACACCTTTATTTATACAGGAATAAATTAAATATCAAAGATGCAATATATTATGTTGCAGAATCATAGGATGAAGTCTAAGAAACAATTATCATGAATTGTTGGAAAAAAACAAGAATTCTTCCAATATTATCAGATACAGAGATTAATGATGCTACTTTTGCTATTCAAGACTTGACAGAGTTAGAAAAGGATGATGTTGATAAATTAATTATAGACTTAACAATGAATCTGCCAAATCCAACAATCGAGTGCCAGTTAAATGAATTTAATGGCAACAATGTTTTTCAAATACCTACTGAAGATATTCTTGATGAAGAGCAAATCATTAATATTGTATTAGATGAACAACAGGAGTTTGAAAAGGGTGATACAAGTGATACTGACATTCCACCACCTGAAATTCCTGTTTTAGAAGGCTTGGATGGTTTAAAAAAGTTTATTAGTTTTTTTGAGCAACAAAAAAGTCGTGATTTCAATATAAAGGATTTGAAAGTTTTTAAAAAATACTTATCATTAATGAAAAGAAAACATATTGACTTGCTAAAACAAAAATCAATTACTAATTTTTTTTTACCTGTTTATAATTGATATCAGGTTTTTTTTTTTTTTTTACCTGTTTATAATAGGAGTTTTTTTTTTTTGAAAATTTAAATTTAGTTAGCTGTTGTTCAGCAATATTATTCTGTTATTATACTGTAATATAGAAATTTTGAACAATTTGAATTATCAATTGATATCTTATAGTTGAATTGAGTTTGATAAAAGGTAAGATTTTGATTATTGGGTTTTTGAGCTTTTTTAATGTTTAATTCTCAGGTTTATGTTTTTCAGTGCACTCAAACTTTTCAGAATTCTGGTAATTATGTATTTTGCTATAATGGTAACTAATATAAAATTATTATATTAATATCATGAAGTAAATCAGTATTCTGAGGTTTTTTGAGTATATTATTAGTATTTAATATAGCAGATTAATATTAAGTTATTAAGTCAGTAAATGTTCAATATTGTATAGGTTTTATAGTAAAATGTTGTTAAAGCAATTTTTTTAGGTCTTTAGTAAGGATTTTAGTAAATATTTTTTATATATATATTCAAATAAATCTTGAGATTATTTACTTAAAATGAATATAAATATGGCAAATATCTTAAGTTTATAATTTTTATTGGTAAAGACCATATGCTAACGACCATATACTGACTAAAATTTGGATCTTTATACTAACTTATCTGGTCTAAAACTATATTCTAACTTTAAAAATTATTATTATAAATGTTATAGGGTATTTTAATAAATTCATAACTTATGCTATAAACTTCTAGTTATGGGTTAACTTCACAAAATCTATTTTTCTAAATTATTATTTCACCAAAGCTATATTACTAATAAGACATAATTTTGATATCTTATTTTCTCGAATTATTATTTAATCGATAACAAATTTCTGACAAGTCATTTATTTGAAATTATTATTTTTTTCAAATATTAAAAAGTGATAGCTTTTATTAACTTATATTGACAGAATAAGCTATCAGAAATATGTCTTATCAGAAAATAAGATAAATAGTTTGATCCTGTTTTTGACAGGGCAATCTGAACTTTATCTAATTATAATTGTTAGACGAACCCTTTTTTGCATAATAACAAAAGTTGAAACCTGAGCTCTAAATAACAAAACTTCTGCTAAAAGTCAAAACCTCAAATTCTTCTAACAAAAGTTGAAACCTTAAATCCTTCTGACAAAAGTCAAAACCCAAAACTAACTTGACAAAACTCTATTACTTCTGCTGAAAAAAAAAACCAGTATATCTTCTATTAATTTGTTATCTGCACAAAGTTGTCTTTTTATTCAAATCAATTTAGCCAATAGACAATGATTATTTTTTAATTAATAAGTTGCTTATTACGCTTCTTATTAAAACTAATCCAAGAATAAATTGTATATAGCCCTTTATGAATATAAAATGATATATTTTATTTTATTTTATTAATCAGTTTCTTTACCTTTTGTCACCTTTTGCCAGTTTCAACACTTTTTGTCAGTTTTGATACCTTTCATCAGTTTTGATAACTTTTGACAGTTTTGATATTTCGTTATTTGAGATTTTAATTGATGAAAGTCAAAACTAGGTTTCAACTTTTGTTAGTACAAAACCTCAAGGTTTCATCTAACAACTATATATCCTATTTGAATTAAATCCATATTAGATTATATATAAAACTAACTTTTGAGTACATCCTTAGACAGTGTTAAAAATTCAAAAAGCTTTTATTAGTACAAGTGCAAATTAAATATAAATAGTATATATGCAAACTTTAAAATCATGTGTGTATTTTTATTAAACAAATTTAAAAATATGTACAAAAAAAATTTATATATGCTTTATATATAGAGTGCTAACTATTTTAATATTGATATGCATAAGTTTAAATCTATATAAGCTATATCTACAGTCCAATTCAATTTATATCACTGTTCTTATTTAAGTTTATGACCAATTCAAATAAAAATCTAATCTGAAAGATCAATTCAGATTTTATTAGTAAAATTAGAAACATTTATCATATTAAATAATACAATTAAATGCTACTTGAAATGCTACTTAACACTATTATTTGATTTTACAAACATGCATATCTGTGAAGTAATAGTGTTAAATAGTAGTTCGAATAGCAGTTAAAATCATACTATTTAATATGGCAAATATTTTTAATTTTATTAGTGTTGTTATATTTAAAATTAAAATATTATAAAAAATCTATTAAATCAGTATCTTATTAGTAAGTCTATACAAAATAATTTTTTTGGTTTTCATAACTTAAAATTTTTAAACCAACTTGGCAATCTGACTTTTTTTTTTAAAAAAACCATTCAGTTATTATAATATAAAAAAAGTTTCAAAAGTTGGAAAATTTTGACTTGGCTAGATTATGTAAACCAAAAAAAATTTTGTATTGTCTAAATTAATTAGGCTACACAAAGTTAATTTCTTAGTTTTCATAACATAAAATTTTAAAAGTGACCTGGCACCAGCTTTTTATTTTAAATTATAAAAAATTTTATATGATTTTTTTTTAGAGAAAAATATAAAAACATATGAAATTTTTTAAAATTTTTTTAAAAAAACTGACCCAAAAATTTTATAATAAATTACTGGACATATGAAATTTTTTTTCAAAGATCTATAAATTTTGACCTAGTCAGGTTATGTAAACCAAGAAATTAACTTTGTGTAGCCTTATATTAAAAAAATTTTTATAAATTAGTTTTGAAATTAGCTTTATTATATTGAAGTTTAAATAATTTTTTAACATATTAAAAGTTTACTATAATAAAAATTTATAAAATTTTAATTACTTTCTAAAATCACATTATATATATTATTTGATATTATGTAATTATATAGAAGTATTTCTATTTAATCACTTCTCTATATAATTACCAAAAAGCATTAGATAAATTGGGTGATTATATAGGAGCACAACTGTACTTATATTTAAGTTGGTTAACAGGTCTATACTCTTGCAAAGTTTATACAGACCCTAATATTTACTTCACAATATATTTTTAGTATTTTATTATATTTCTGTTTTGACATTAAACTCCTAATTCAGATAACTTAAAAAGACTGTAACCTGTTTCTGGTATCCTAGAATTATGTCTTCTGGTATCCTTTTTTTTAGTTTGAGACTTTTAGTAATCTAGTTGATGATATGCTTATCTAAGGTTCTTATCTGCCTAATTCTGCCATATTGGTATCTGTTTCTTAGGTTTAACCTTTACAGTAATACCATCAAAGATCCATATTACCTCTTTACTTAGATCTTTCTAAGTGAACTCTAGTTTTTTCTAGTTTTACAGACTTATATAACTATAAGAAATTATCTTGTGTTTATATTATCCAATGCTGATTTGTATCCACACAGATGCTTCATGACCTGTCAGTCAAGCTGGTGTGATTATAGTTACAAGTATCTTATCTAAATTGATTAACAGAATGCTGTTGTCATTATACTAATACTATAATACTAATATTACATAGGTGATTTTTCAAATTTTTACTATTAGTAAGTTTTGAACTTCCAACCTACCACTTGAAGGGTTGACAACTTATCCATTTCACTAAGTTGTCACACTCCTTTTATAAGAATTTAAAAATAAATAAAACAGTTTTATTAGTAAAAAATCAATTATTTTATTTAAACAATAATATTTTATAATTTAGTAATTAAATTAGATTATTTTATTCCTATTTGATTCATTTTGATAAAATAAACCAAATAATACTAAAATTATATATTTCTGACTTTTGTAATTGGCCATACATTATAATACTTCCTTCTATCTTATATAGAAATAAAAAAAATAAGTTTTTTTATTATTGCTTCTTTTATCTTTTACTCATTTTATTATTTTTCATCTTTTAGTAGTTTCGTCAGTTTCGACAGTTCCGCCAGTTTTGACAGTTTCGCCAGTTTCGCCTAACAACACTAGGCACAACATATTCAACTAATATAGCAATGAGGTATAGCAATGAGGTATAGCAATGAGTAGTTAAATGTTTGGTTCTAAGTGACTCTTTTCAGCGCATATTGGTGGCACTTGCAATGGTTTTTTGTCAGTGAAATGTTATATTCTCAAAAAGTCTTTTAAAGTATTTAAATAAGTTACCCGGCTAATTGATTTACATTAACCAATCATTAGATTGTTCTATTATGCTATCTATAAAAAAACCCTTATCCCATCAACATAGAATATATTGTCACTTGCATAGTAGAATATTCGTAGGAAAATTTGCCTTAGCGCAAATATCCAATAATATTAACTAAAAATCGGTTTCTTATCTAAAAATCGTAAGCCGACAAGTTGCAGTTAAGTCTTATGCGATTTAGGCTAAGTCCATACAACGGCTCACAGTCCTTTTAAAAAAAAATTCACACAACAAATATAAACTCTAGAAAGCCCAAAAAATAAATGAAAATTATGAGGATAAAAAATTATATACATTAAAAAATGATATATGTAGAACAGACAGTTCGATCTTATAAACTAATATCCTTATGATTTATGTGAGATCTTTACCAATTTACAAGATTTGAAGGCAAATTTGCCTGTAAAGCAGTGTAGAGGATAAAGCTTTAATTTGATGTTACTGTGATTATTTAAATGAACTTCTTTTAAAAAAATATTTTCTATTAAGAGATAATATTCTCATAAAAATATTAGAACATAAAATTTTCAACATTAGTAGGTACTACACATCTGGCATTGCTCAGATATAGAATGTTAGTAATAATAATATCTTGGGATTAGTGACGAAACATATTATTAATTAATACCTTGACCTCTCACATGATAAAATACGTCATTAGCTCGTACGTAATTAAAAAATTTACATAAAATGATATTGGATTAAGTTCAAAAAAAAAGAACCATTCTTTTATAAAACACGATTTTTATTCAATTTATAGAGATCCATCTAAAATTCATAAAATTGAAGAACCCGAAAAAAGCAATAGGGGTTTCATAATTATTGCACTTATCAAATTGGAAAATCATTTGCGTACATCGGTTTCGTGTAACATCACGTACATCGGCCAACGAAATTTTCGGATTTTGGAGGCGCAGCAAATTTTATTGGCTAAAAAAATTGATGTACGTAATGTTACACGAAACCGATGTACACAAATCATTTTCCTTTCAAATTACACACTGGAAATCTGAAATATGAAATAAATGCAAATACATGATTGGCTAAAAACTATTTCCAACCAATCACAGGTTTGCATTTATTTTAGGTTTCTGATTCCCAGTATGATATGTGAAATTTGGTGATCACAGTAATTTGAAAAGCGTATTTAGGCTGATATATGTGATACATATTTTTTTTAACTTATTTACATAATCATTTACCGGTAGATAATTGTCAAAAAAAACAAGTTGATTAACATGTGCTTCTTTTTAGTTCACCGAGTCAGCATTTAAAAATAGAGTAGGATCTTTAAACTTCCACTTATTTTCAAAACCCCTTATTGAAGCACGAAGTCTATTGTGGAAGTAACGAAATCAACAGTAAACATGACAATGAACATGAAACGAAATATTGATAAAGAATAAAATGAAAGTCAGGCTAATTCATTTACCCGATCTCGATCTATATTTACTTCTTTATCTATTTCGCAAGCAAAAATAAATTTTAAAATTTTGTAGTAACTACACAGGTTGTTATTAAAGGGTAATATCCCAGCTGTGTTTAAAAACTATAATAATACCTTCCCATTATGTTTGTGCACATAATAAAAAAAAAAAAGGTTATTTCCCTTAATAATTTACTGAGTTAATAACGTCCTAACTAACACTAGTTACAGATTTCCTCCTGACAAAAATCATGTGAGAGTTGAGCCAAGCATTATTTAGCCGCTAGTATCCATGCGTAAACTAGCTCTACTTCTTAATTTACAACCTTACATCGATAGGTAAGGTATAATATAATACAACTTATTCTCATTATAGTGAAGATACGACATCCTTAAAGAACCAAATATAGTATTCTTTTAATATGTACTTTTCAAAAATTTTTCAACTTGACAATATGATTACAAAATTGAATCGTGATATGCGACGTGAGCCGACGGAATCATATTTTTTTCATAAATTCTGGACACCTAAAAATTTATCGTTTTTCTCGAAGCCTCGAGGATTTCAGGGATCTCGTTTTAAGAACCATCAAACTTTTCGTGAACAACGTCGCTGTCTCTGTATCAAAGTTCCAAGAATAGTGAAGTAGTTTTCGAAAATTTAAGTGATTCTTAAAATGAGATTGAAGGGATTTCGGGAAACTAGCAAAACTTTATTTATCCCAGAATTTATGAAAACAGCTGTAATAAAGACAATTGAGTAATAGGGACGATTAGGTCAATAAGGATAATTCAGTTCGTATGGAACGAATTAAAATATAGACATGTAATCAATACTTTATTATAAATAATGGCTTTCTCGGCCCATCAAAAATTTTAAGTTTTGCCTTACTAAATAATTTACAATACATAACCCTTATAATCACGAATCTAGCATGACTCTTTGCCTCAATTAAACCTACAATTTGGTTACAAAGTCCAGTTCGGTGAAGCGACTGACCCACTGTTTTAAGCTTTCAGCAACAATAGAGAATAAAAAAAAAGTAGAAATAAAATAAATTTTAGTTGAAATAAAAATGCTACCACTAAAAAAAGATACCTTATGAAATATGGTGTTAAAATGAAAATCAAAAATATATATTGCTAGCCTTACATGCAACTCTCAACTAATCAAATGTGCATAAGTTCCAACACCTATTGCTAGCAGAAACATCTTTTCGGAGATTTAAGTCTTCTTCGTGGGTTTTATTTAATGCTCTGAACAAAGTTTTTTTTCATATTTGAGAAGTTTTGCAGTGTACTAGTATCCTTGACACTTTTATTGTATTTGACTATTGTCTTATAGAGATATGAAAGGGAAAGAACTGACACTTGTAGATCTGGTGTAGCCTCATTCAGCAAAATAGAATTTACAAGGTGAACGGTGGCCGAATTGACTTTAACGAATGTAAAGGTAAATTTGTCATTAGGTTGTCTTTTGATACCCGTTTGTTTGTCCCAATGATCTTTTGCAAGCCAATCAAGCGTATCATCAGATTCACTATCTGGTTTTAATTTAGATTGAGAGATATTCACATATTCTGGAATTGGTGGTGGATGAGGAACATTTCCAAAAATTGAACGATGTTTAGACCCATAAAATCTATCTAAACTTTCAAATCCTATACCTTCTCGAAATCTAAAATCACAAAGAACTAACAATAACTTGGGGGAGATAACATAAAACCAATGAAAGGCGTGTTGAATTGGACCCATTGGCGTAATCATATTTATACCTTCAAAGATTCCAAATGCGTTGGTGGTCATAATAAATTCATCATTTTCACCAGCTTGCCAAATTGCGAGAAAACAATCGATTATGCGCATTTTATAATCCATTTTATCTACAGGAAAGACTCGCAAGTTGGTTTCAACGTCTTCATGTGGGGTATCTAATATTTCTCGGACATTCTGTAACCATACTTCTTGCGGATTTTCTAAATTATGCTCCTGCATAAAACTTTTTATCATTGACTCAGTAACTATATCAAATCTATTATCTGTAAACTGAATTCTTCTATGAGGATTTCAGTAATTCATGATAAAGAGGAACTTGCGTAAGTCAGCAACAATTTTCCTAAACAAACCTATTTGGCCATTTATTTGAGACGCCTCGATAATATCTCTGACTACCTTTGATGCTTTCTCTTCAAGATTTGCTAATTTTTTTTCCACATGCATTGTGTCATCATGATTAAGATCTTTATACATGTTTATGTCTCCATAAGTTCTCGCAATTGATGAAATACCTAATTGATCCTTATCTCTATCGTAAATTTGAAGTGATTCCCCCTTCTTTTTCGTCTTCCAAAACTTTTGATTCTGATTGAATTGCTTCCTATTACTCGTAAATATCCTTTCATAATTGTCAATAGCAAAGTTCCGTAAAATGAATCTTGGAATGTAGTGATGGTATTCGTCTTTTTGCATTGTCGTTATAGCAGTATAGAAAAAGAAGAGAAAACCACTGGTTCATTGATTCTATATTTGATGTTATCTATAGGTATGACAACACAAAAATGGGTTCGAAATTGTTACACAAAATGTTTAATTGGTAGATCACGGTACTACGAAAAAATGAAAAATGAATTAATATTATATCTTTATTAGTTTGCATTACATTTTGTATGTTATTTGAGTCTAATAGAATAACTATAAATAGGATTATTCATTGCAAATCAGATAGACTTCTTCTTTCGATCAATTGAAATCTGTTTGCTCTCGAATATTCTTTTGCTTACACTAATTATTATAATGCTTACAAGCTGAGCCGAATTGGCTGTGGTGAATTATATCATTCCCGATTTCGTAACACGTTTGGTACTGGTTATGTGGATAAAACAAAAAAGGAGAAAACAATACGAATCTGTGTTTTGTTGAATTATAACTGTGAATTGAACAAAATTAGCAAAAACTGTACTGTGCTAAGTTAATATCTTATATTATATACTTTATATATATTATTATATATTATTATATTTATATTTATATACTTATACTTACTTTTATATACTTATACTTACTATATATTAAAGGAGTATCGTATGCCAAGCATCCTTTAAATTTACGTTTTTGATGCCTGTTACACTATATAATCTATATTAATGAACACATCAAACCTTTACGTACGAATCAAGTGCAACATATCATGATCAGGAAAATTCAAAACAAACAACCGTGCTGTTCAAAATCACTTATTTCTTGAAATTCTATATAAGAAACCACTTTTGGTGCTCTAATAAAAAGGTTCGTTGGGCAATTTTACTATATAAACTACGTTCTTCTAACCCGTAAACGTAATCCTAACTCTAAATATATATGAGCAATAAAGAATTTTTGCTGTGTCACAAACCTAGCACACATTCAAGTGATGCCACGTAACATAAATCTATATACGCGTGCAATAATTTAACTAATAAATCAAATCTCTCTATTAAACAATTTTACTATGTTTCTTTACAGAATCATATTTCGATTAAAATTTATTTAAAGTCTCTATAATCATACTTTAACAACAATGACCGTTTATTACCCAATTTACTGATACTAATTTTTCTCACGTATGAGCCAATATACAACAATATGCAGTGTCACGGGTTATATGGTCGAGTTCAGAGATGGGGCAAATGCGACAGATTGTCGCTTGAAAATTGATTATGCCGCGTAGCGTTCCTCAAAGATAGTAGAGGCGGTTTTACGATTTGGCACAAGGTCAAGGAGCGTTACAAGATAAGTACAAAGTTTTAAAGAGTGTTATTGTATTGGGCGATTCAAAGGGTCTTTATTAATAACTTTATTATTAGGGGCAATACAACTATGGGACTATAATATTATACTACGCTAAACTATGAGCTTGAACTGAACTACCTTTTGGGAGGGGAAAATTCCACCTTTTTTATAATGAATTGACCGCGAGAAGAGCACGCACAAGACCATGACTCTTCTCATTGTTCCCATCTTTTTCCAACCATTTTTGTTTTAACCTTTAACCCCTTTCACACAGCCTTTCATTACTTTAACATTTCTCACGGTCACCATAGAACCGATGAGAAATGTTTCAGTTTTACTATCCCGGGGCCAGAACTAGAGATGGGAAAATCGAGGTTTTTTTGAATCTACTGCGCAGCCTGCACGACCTGCACAGCTTCAGTCCCTAGAGACTTTTACTATTAGGTTTCGCGTTTATATATATAAAACATCTACTTATATGTGTAAAGTTGGGCTCCCATCATTTTAGTGCTCCAAGGTTAGTTTAAACGTCAGTTTTTGTTGTTTTGCGTTTTTCACTTTTTATCTGCATATCGGTGAATTAATAATTCTGGTCAAATTTGCAGATCATTCGGCTAGATCTAGAACAAAACAACTTTAAATGTGGTCAAATGATCTGCATGTTTGACCAGAAATATGAACGATGGATTCTATTAATCAGGTGATGCAGATAATAGCATCTAAAATGCCAGCCAAAAAAATTTCACAGATCACGTGAAATGACGAAACAACCAATCAAATTTCGAGATCAGGTGTAACGTGAAAAAAATGCAAAAACGAAAACAGTCCGTAACTCATGAAACTGCCTTCTGCGTACTAACAAAAAGTTTTCCTTGCAAAATTTTGGCATAACCATTATACTCTAAACCTACCTTACTAACAATACCCTAGCCCTAATCTAATAGCGAAATGTTTTTTCTTTGCGAAAATTTTTTTGAGGTTTCATAATGTGCGAAATTTTTTAGAATGGTATTGCTAGTCTTAATGATGCAGATCCGTTTTTCTTTCGGGCCGATCCGAACCGATTTCCGATTGGTAATTCAGACCTGGATTATAAAGCTTGCCAGAATTATGACAGTTGGCCAGAATTATGAAAATTGCACTGCGCATCCTCAAAAAATGCCTGCACAGACTGCGCAGTGTCCATCATATTGTCTACAATCGCACCCCTTGACATCGCTTCACACCTAACCCAAGTAGGGTAGGTGGAGACAACGTCCATTCCCAGCGCGAACAGGTTGGTCCAGGTCGACCTTTCTTTAATTGGAGGGGGTGGTGGGGTCCCGCATAGAGGCTTGTGTACTGTCATATGGCTTTCTTGGGGCCGGGAGCACATGTTTCAAGTGGATCGTCATGGGCACCACCAATTAGGTAAGTATACCACAATGACGATCACTTCTCAGGTTCCTTGGGGTGTCGGTTTTACCTCTAACAGCAGTAACTTAGTATTGTCACTAGAGATGGGACACTGCGTAGCCTGCGCAGGCATTTTTTGAGGCTGCGCAGTGCAATTTTCATAATTCTGGCCAGCTTTATAATCCAGGTTTGAAT